GGCGGGTGTGGAAGATTTTGGTGCGATTTCAGGTGAATACCCATCCAGTTTTGCATTTCTTCGTTCTTCAGATCTTCTGTCCATGTTGATGGTTTCGGTCGATGTTGATGGTTTCTACACATGTTCGATTTGGTTTTCGGTGTTTTAAAGTTTCGTTTTCTTGTTTTGAAGTCCTATTTGTTCGGGAATACTAAGACGTATTCGTTTTGATTTTGATTTCACTGATGGTAGTTTCGGTTAGTTTTCTGGGTTTTGAACCGTGTTTGGTTTCTGGATGTGTTATTGATGAATGTGTTTGTTTTTACTTCACAGGATGTCGGCGGACGATTTCCTTGTCACCCTAAACATCCATATGGGAGGATCTCTATGGTGTGAGGATGACGAGATTAAATACGTCGGCGGTTGTGTAGAAAAGTATGAACGTAAGTTTGATATTGATTATTTTTCATGGTTTTCGTTTGTGGATATTCTGAAGGAGAATAAATTGCCTACTGTGAATGCAATATGGTATAAGAGAACAAAAGAGGCAATGAGTTGTTTGAGACCAATCCGAGAACATATAGATTCAGAGATAAGGGATTTGATTAGTTTGGCGAGAACATGTGCTGAGATAGATGTTTTCATTGAACATAAGGTTAGTGATGGTCCTGTTATATCAGGACTATTGAGTGGTGCTGATGTTGGTGACGATGTTGGAGATGGTTGTGATTTAAGGGATCTTGGTCATGATGTTGCTGATGATATTAGAGATGGTTGTGATTTAGCAGATGGTGGTGTTGATGTTGGAGATAATGTTGGAGATGCTTGTGATTTAGGGGATGTTGGTCATGATGTTAGTGATGGTGGTGTTGATGTTGGAGATAATGTTGGAGATGCTTGTGATTTAGGGGATGTTGGTCATGATGTTAGTGATGGTGGTGTTGATGTTGGAGATAATGTTGGAGATGCTTGTGATTTAGGGGATGTTGGTCATGATGTTAGTGATGGTGGTGTTGATGTTGGAGATAATGTTGGAGATGCTTGTGATTTAGGGGATGTTGGTCATGATGTTAGTGATGGTGGTGTTGATGTTGGAGATAATGTTGGAGATGCTTGTGATTTAGGGGATGTTGGTCATGATGTTAGTGATGGTGGTGTTGATGTTGGAGATAATGTTGGAGATGCTTGTGATTTAGGGGATGTTGGTCATGATGTTAGTGATGGTGGTAGTGATGATGGTGTTGATGATGGTAGTGATGATGGTGTTGGGGATGTAGATGATGGTGGTAGTTTCGAACATTATACATACAGTGTAGAGTTTGCTGAATATGTAAGTGATCCTGAAAGGTATGATAGAGGCAATGAGTTTCCTAGTACACCAGAGATCACCGATGATGAAGGAAAAAAAGAAGTCGGAATTCCTTGAACTCTTTGGATCTCACCTGATACACGCCTTTATAGTCCTCCTGTTACGCAGGACGTTTGACGTAATCAAAGCACGCAACTCCTCATGTTGGATTCCGTAGATATCTCAGGTCTTAGGATCCAATCATGGAACCGTCATATGAGATTCAAGTCATGACGCTAGTCCATGTGACAATCTCATGTGGGTCAATCCAGTATTCCGTTCTCCAACGAATACCTATGATTGTGATCGTATCCAATACCTATGATCATCTCTGTGATCATCAATCACAGATCATACTAGTCTTATTATGTCGTTATTCCCATAACGACACAAGACTAGGGAGTTTAGTATCATTCATAATGATACATGGATTTCATAACAGATCTAGCATGCAAGAACATGTAATGAATAAAATACTCTCATAAAAAGTATCAATACATCGAATGTATCTAAACAAAGCTCATAATCAGTACATCATAGAGCACTAAACCAACAAATATTTGATTCCAAACATCTAATTCAATCATTTCAAGTACTAATTGAAGTTATTATTGTTGTAGGGTCTTTTTTTCCGACACAGTCATCTCAGACAATTCAATCAGATTTTCCAAATCGACAAGTGATTCATCGTCCGCTTGCTCCTTCATCATCAACCCCTCAAGTTGTTGGTTCATCATCCCGCACAACTAGGAGGTTTCAGCCTCCGCGCCAAAAGAACCGAGGATGAATGTGATGACTACTGTAGACTTCTTTTGATCTTTTGTAGACTTGTGTTTTGGTGCCTCATGTATAGGGTTTGATGACTTCATGACTAGATGACCATCTCTTTTGTAGACTTGAGTTCCTATGCATCAAAGAGGCAAATGTATATCATGACTAGATGACCATCTCTTTTATAGACGTGTTTTGGTGCCTCATTTATCTGGCATCACACCTTTCAACCATTCATAATATACAGTTCGTTATATATTAACCAACAAAAACATAACGAAACATCCGTTAAATATCATCCATTACATGCCATAAAATCCGATACATAACATCCATTACACACCATAAAATCCTACAAAACATATCCCAAGATCTTACATAGCATCCATTTCATAACACAATCCATTACGTTTTTCACAAATCATATGACTGATAATCCATAATAGTAAGCAAAGAGCATCACGACAATAACGGTGATTCCAATAACTTGGAATAGATTGGTTCTGTATTCAATCATCTGCTCTTCCATCTTCTTCAATTTCAGATTCACCTTCTCCATCTCACAGTTCATAAGTTGTTCCATCTTCTTCAAACTCATAGTCATTCACGCTCAAAACCTCAAAGTTCTTCTGTTCTTCTATCGAAACCGTAAAACTGGAGTTTTCGAACCTAACCTTCTTTGTCAATTTTTCGAATCTAACCTTTTCCGGAGATGAACGGCGTCCAAGTTGGAGAAACAGGAAGCCCACAAGTACGGCTTGCTGGAAGCAGCGTCAAAACTAATGCTTAGCTTTTCTGGGTTTCGATGTTACACAGAAACATGAAAGAACGAGGAAGCAATGGACAGAGAGAAGAGACACTATTGTGGAAGAGGAAGACCGAGCTAATATTTGGGGATTTAGGTTTAACATGCTGATGTGGACAAAACACTATTGTGGTGCTTATTTGGCACTCCGTTAACGCCACATCGACATTTCTTAATCCGATTTAACGATTATATTCCGCCGTTACGTAACAGGAATTAATCAATTAACAGAAGATAATTACAGGTATTTTTTAATACATTTTCAAAAGTATAGAGGTTGTCTGGATATTAAAAAAGTACAGGTATTAAACTGAGACGTGAGAAAAGTACAGGTATTTATCGGAGATTAACCCTTTTTTTTATAACATGAAAACTCGCAACCATTATCCTTCGGATGCACATGGGATAAAATTTCATTCTCGTGTAATATTTTATAAAATTTCACTCTCTTTATTTGTGAGATTAATCTCACAGATAAAGAGATTAAAAGGATTCAAACCCACAACCTTAGATTTAATATTCAATCAACTCACTAGGGATTTTTCCCATTCTGTTTCAACATATGAACTCTTTTTTTTTCATGTCTTTAAATTAGAATATCGTTTTTCATCGAATATGCAGAAAATCCGTCCGTGTTAACTCTGTTTCGGCATATAAATTCGGTTTGATGTGTTTGAATTTGAGAACATCCTTTTCGTTGAATATGCATGAAAAATAATTGTTTGATAAGGTTTCCCCATGCTTGAGAGAGAGAGACGAAGATGGAAGATATTGAAATCATTTATACACAACTACTCTCAGTTCGAAATGAATGTCACAACTGCAGGTAATAATAATTGTCAAAATTTACCATGGATTTGATTTTCCATAATTCGAGCAATTAATGGAAGAACCGTAAACTTTGTGGCATTGATGCCACATTTATTGATTTGTTTCTTCACAAGTTTATATATATATATATATATATATATATATAGAAAGAGAGATTTTTTTTTGTCACCAAAGCAAACTTAGCTTGAAGAACGGTGTACGGTGCCAAAAAGGTCAGGGTTTGAATATCTACAGAAACATTGTTCGCATAAACTCCCCCACGTTGAAAACATAGATTATATAAAAGAGAGATGAAATGAGGTTGGTGGATACTATAGAAAAAAAAATCGAGTATCTGAATCATATGGTTCAAACTCGAATAATATAAATAAATAAAGAAGAATTCAGGTTTTTAATTTTGAAGTTTTAAAATTACTCGGACATTAATTAAAATAACAGTTACTATTATTATTTTTTAAAAAAATTACAGTCGAAGGGAGGGGTGAGGGGCCCTTCCTTTGCCGGATTTAGTCCACACTGACACTGTTTTCACCAGTTTCACTGTTTTCATGAACAGAACATTTTCAAACGGATGAAATTAGATTCTCTGTAAAAAAAAAAAGAAAAGAAAAATGATTATATATTTTTGTGGTATATTATTTGCTCTCACCAAACCCCACCACCACCCCTTCCTTCACTTCACTTTCCCTCCCTTTGGAATTTTCCCTCATTCCCGGTCATCTAGCCCCACCCACCTTTTATTCCGCCTTTCTCCCGGACCAAAAATAAAAAACGTGTTTTCCATACTCACAATTCCTTTTTTCTTTTTAAAATTTAAACCCCATATCCATTACAATAGGGGTGTCAATCGGACTGCCTCGACCCGTTCTAAATCCGCACTTGATCTGAAAGTTTCGGACTCAGATTCAGACTGCTCGATTTTTTTCAAACATAATAAACAAAGCTCGAAGCCGAACCCTATAAAACTCAGGCCCGAATAAGGTTCGGAGCAGGTTGGCTCCTCCCGCTTAATACATATAAAAGAATAAGATTTTATGTTTTTTTAAACATATTTTTCAAAAAAACAAATAAATCGGATTTTTAGATCGACCCGAAACCCGTCGAACTTTGTCCAAAAAAGACTGAACCCGATTTAGGCCCAACCCGAAAACTTAAAATTTTTCTGGCCTAAACTTTTAAACCCGAAGTATGCTATTTTTCGGGTAGGTCAGGTCGAATTTCGGCCTTCGAGACCGAATTGACATCCCCAGTTAAAAAAACTCTTCCTATGATAATTAGCTTTGTTGATCGATAGATATGAATATTCCCCACACAAACCCCCCACCATCCTCAAGACAAGATAACCAAATTCTCAACAGTTCCTCTAATTTTTCTTATCAAATGAGCAAATGACACGTACACATAGGAGGGAACCAAACAAGGGGGGGGGGGGTTTCTCAACTTCAAATTCTACCGTCCAGATGGAATCCGACCTCAGGTCCAGCCTGATCCTGATGTTCCTCTCCCCTTGCATAATCTTTGGCACTGAGCTTTCTTTTTCCTATTCTCTTGATCCCAACCTTTACAGATCCAAGTCAAGTTAGCTAATCATATTTCCTTCCTGTACCTACAAACACCATGGTTGTTGTAAAGAAATCTCACTCCCATCCCACTAAATTCAGTCACCTGCGGAGTAGAGATAGACGCTCTGCTCCAGTTAGTGCTTCCAATCGTTCAAGGCTTCACAATCCTTGAGTTGACTAGAGTGATTTCCGAAACCCTAGTTGCACAAAAAGCCGAGGGATTTCAAAACTATATCCCGTGTTTATGAGGACAACAAACAAATTTTAGCAGGAGAATCGAGAAAATACCATGAAAAAAGGGGCAAACCTTCCGCGCTTGTTCTTCCCTCTGTTTGGCAGCACGAATCTTTTCGTTCGATACTTACCACTAAAAGATACGAGAAACGTTAATGAACGATTCCACGAAACTAAAGGACAACAACAATAACTACCAAACAGGGCGATTCATTCACCAACCTGCCTTCTTAGGTCCAGCGGAAAGTTTTTGTAAGATCTGAGAGTTCCCTTTCAACATCCCTTATCTTAGAATAATTCTATTCCATGTATCTAGTAAAACGAAGCAGAGAATGAGATTCAAGAGAGGGACTGATACTGATTTCAAGGCTGCCTTCTGATCTTAGAACAGAATGGTCTCTTAAAACCCGGCTGGATAACCCTTCAATCTGATTCCCCAAACCATAATCTTTACATTTAGTTGCCGCAAAACGACATAGTAAGGAGATGATGGAAAGATCATAAAAACACTTCAAACTCCGGTGCCATATTATTTGTGTTCCCTGCCAAATCTCAAACTTAGCTACCTAAATCAAGATTGCAGAAGTCGTTTCAAATCTACTGATGCTAGAATTTCCGTAATTTGATTTCAACTGAGAGATCATCTTATTCCTCCATCAAATTACTTCATCTTCAAGAAACAGGAGAAACACTCTCCCACACAACTCAAATGTGTCCGAGTACCAAGAAGAAAATCACCCAGAGCGCCGCTATTTGCAACTGCGCTTAATCAGCATTTGAAAGCCAGCCTTACTTCTTCAATTGAAGTTGCTCTTCCTCGATTATCTGGTGCCGCAAAATCACCACAAAAAAAAGACAACAAATCGCGTTCCGTAAAACGAATCACGCGACCCAATGCATATAATATGCATCCAGCGAGAAACATACCTTCTCGGTGTAGGCGATTACAGGAGGCTCTCTTGCGAGGCCATCGGGGCCCGATCTCAGGTTTCAGCTTAGGATCTGAAGCCATGATCTTCTCCTTCTACTTCAAAATCAAAGAGAAATGCTCCGATTTCTTCTTCCTCGTTTCAGAATTTCTACACAAAACAGAAAATTTCAGCCATTACCAAGAGCATGACTCGCATTTCGCTGCCACTAGGGGTGGGCACGGGCGGGTACCCGGACTTTTTAAGGTACCCTTATCTCGATCTCAGTCTCGCCGGGTTTTTGAGAGAAATGTCTCGATCTCTATCTCACGAAACCCGGGTACCCGAGATTTGGGTACCCGAGACACGAGTTCGGGTTCTCGCGATACCCGAACCCGAACTCGTGTAAATTTAAAAAAAAAAAAACTAAACAAATATACAAAATCAATACATCAATAACATAAAATCCATACTCCAAAATATATCCAAAATACAATTGAATAAAATCCAAAATATATCATGATTCATGATGAGTAAAATTTAAACATCTGTTTGGAATAATCATTCCCTCAAACCTAAATGGGTCAGATGCAAACCCACATGAGATTCATGTCCAAATTCACAATTTTTCCTGAGAAATTTCACCAGATTTTACGTAAACAGGGCCCTCTACGCGGTCGTCTCTTCTCGATCATTGACTTGGAAATTGATGCGTGTGAAGAATGAGAGTATCTCCCTAGCAACTTGCTTCGGCTCTTTCCTCACTCCATCTTCGGTTACAAATGTTTTCCGCACTATCTAGAGCATTCAGATTTATAGTGAATCGAATGGAAAAATTGGTAACTAGAAGGATTTCGTAACCGATATGACAAAGAAGACAAATCGATAGCAACGCGCAAAAGTACCTGAATCTCCGGCGAACGACGAAGGAGGCGCAAGGCGGAGAAGGACAGACCGAGGGCGATCGTTTTCGCAAAGAGAAGGAGACTCGCAACAGCAAACACGTGAACGATGATCGATTTCGCTTCTGCAAACGGATAATGGAGAGAACGGCGAACAAAGGCGAACAAAAGCTAGAGAGAACGGCGATCGTCGACCGTTTCTGTAAAGAGCCGCCGCAAATACAAATGAGAGAGAGAGAGAGACAAAGTGAAGTGATGGTAAATTAGGGTTAGGGTTATTTGTGTGACTGTATTAAATAATAAAGGATATTTTTGTAATTTCTAAATTTTCCGGTACCCGCGAGATAACCCGAGATAAAATTATTAAACTCGAACCCGAACCCAAAACTCGGGTTTTCTATCTCATAAAATCCGAACTGTGTCTCAACGTCTCACGGATATTGAATCCCGGGTACCCGCGAGATAGGGTATCCGGAAACCCGCGGGTCTCGGGTAAAAATGCCCACCCCTAGCTGCCACTGACGTGGTTCGCGTTTGGTTTGTCGTCCGACATTTTGACGGCGAAAGAGAGAAGCTAAAACATGTTTAGCGCCTTGGGCTTGGGGTGACGAATTAACCGTTTCCGTCATAACGCCGTTAACTTGTGAAATATCTGTTATACCCCTGGCCTCTTGACTTATGTACCACCACATGCTATGCACGTTGCACTCTTGTCCCGGTGGACTCCCCCGCGTAATCCTCGTGTTAATAAAAATAAAAATAAAATCTCCAACAAAATTTTCAGATATCAAACAATTATAAAACAAGTTATCTCTATGTATATATACAGATATAATATTTTTTTTTCACATACAAACACTAAAGTTTCAAAAACCGTTTTGTTAGAAATTTTCAAAATTCAAAATAACCTAATCTGAACTAATTGTAAACGAATAAATTGAACCCAAATTAAACACAACCAAATAAATTGAAACCCAACCATTTTATCCCCATGTAATCATGTATGATGAATTAATGCGAACTATATCCAAGTAGGGAAAAAAAACATAATAGGGTTGTTTGTATGGTTTTGTAATCATTGTATATAACTAAAGTGATTTTTTTTTTGCATTTTCTACAATAACATTTCAAAATTTGATTTATTTACTATTATAACCTAATCAAACTGAACTAAATTTATATTTAGTTATAATTTTAATTAGATATAAATGAACAGAACCAAAATCGAATCAAATCAAACCAATTAAAATCAAATAGCGGTTTGGTTGTGAATTCACAAAATATAAAATAACCAAATCCGAACGAATTAATTTTCGTTCCCTAGTTTCTTGCTTTCAAATCGATAGTGCGTGTGGTTTTAAGCACGAATAAACGGCACGCAGTCCATTCCGTGCCAGAAACAAATCACCCACAACCACAAAAATCCAGAGAGTAAAATCGAGAGTAGAACCTAAATTATTAAGAACCACCTTAACGTATACAAGAGTATAAAAGAAAAAACACTACAGTTGCGTTTCAGTTCCCATAACAGGGGAGAGGAAAAAATGAGAACAGGAGCGGCTTAAAGATTCTGATTCAGGCAGAGGTTAAGGATTTGTATGAATCTTTTCACTTGGCATCAAGGAGCAGAAGAGGAAAGAAGATCAAGAACAGCTTCCTTGGTGGGCATGGCCGGGATGGCCCCTCTCTCTGTCACCGTTATGGCACCACACGCGTTTGCGAATAGAAGTGCCTGTCTTAGTTTCTTCTCGTCCTGTGAAGTAACCCAAATGCATCAGAGACTCAGAATGATGTGAAATCTGAACATTTCCATGGTTGAACGGAAAGCTCGGGCCAAAAGACAACGGAGAAATACCTCGAGAAGGCTGAGATCGGAAGCTAAGTTGAAGAGAAGACCGCTCACGAATGCATCTCCCGCGCCAGTTGTGTCGACCGGTTTCACTTTTACTCCCGGAACTCTGCCCTTGAATTCCTACACAATCATACCCGAGATTTTGTTTCTCGATCACGAGAAAAATCTTAATCTACGGGATACTGACCGGAATGAGGAAACAAAGAGAAGCACACCTTAGTGTAGTATCTGCAACCATTGGGTCCTTCGGAAACAACCAGGAGCTTGAGATTGGGATGGAAAAGCTTCTGTAACACCACCTCGTCGTCGTAAGGATCATCCCCTCCGGTCAGAAACGTAATCTCATCCTCGCTGATCTGAGAGTTTCGACGAGAATTGAAACACTGAGTTCATGCTTATTTCAAAACACACCGAGAAGGTTAACATGTTGTAGAAAGATCATATACCTTTATAACATCTGCTTCTTCCCATATGGCCATAATCTCCTTCCTTGCAGCCTCTTCTGATTGCCATAACGGCAACCGTAAATTCGGGTCATACGAGAGGAGACTCCCCGAACTTTTCGCGATCTTCATAGCCGCGAGCTGAGTGGAACGGCAGGGCTCTGCGATCAGACCGATAGAGCCGTAATGGAAGATCTTAGCCTGTGATGAACAACCAGCAAACAAAACCTTCAAAACCTCTATAGTATGCATCTAGAGAACAAGACTCGAACTGCAACTTGAGATGATGAAGAGAGAAAGATTCGACCTTTTTGACGAGATTCTCGTCGAGTTCTGATTCCTCGAGAAGCATATCGGCACTCGGGTGACGGAAGAACAAGAACTCGCGTTCCCCGTCGGTTCTGAGAGTCACAAACGCGAGTGCCGTCCGTGCGTTGTGGTCGAATCTCAAACCGGAGTTGTCTACATTGTTTTGATTCAGAATATCAGCAAGCATGCGCCCAAACTCATCATCACCGACCTGAGAGAACATTAAGGATACTGAATCTATGAGAAAGCAAGAAACTTTATGGCATTATCAATGTCGATTCAGATCCTAAAGATTTCACCTTTCCGATGAAAGCAGAAGAGCCTCCGAGTCTGGAAACACCGACGGCGACATTTGCAGGAGCGCCTCCTGGAGATTTCTTGAAGGCAGGTGCTTCGGCTAGTGAAACTCCACTGACTGTAGGGACGAAATCTATCAACATTTCTCCGAAACAGACGACGAGGGCATTGGAATCCATGAGATCACCTGTCAGAATGAGGCGAACACTCTGATTCTAATGCATATTCTCGATTCTGGTTGCAGAGCGATCTTTCGAATTCGTAGGATCGAAATAAGATTCTATCATTCTCTGATTTTTCGATCAAAGCCGACGCAGATGAAGTCAATGGACGCATCGGAATTTAAACTCATGAAATCTCGACCAGGACACGGTCACTCAATCAAATTCGTCCATTAAGAGAGAGAACAAAACATGAAACGGGTAAGAGGAACAGGCCTCGGATCACATCGAAACAGAGATCTACAGGGAAACATCAACAGAAAAGAACAAACCTTTGAAGCAAAACAATCAAACCCAGATACCAAATTCGATAAAATAAAAAAAAACCCAGTTCGAATTCATCTGGAAACAAATCGCCCCCGAGTACGAAATCAAGAAAACAACACAAGAAGAAATACGTTAGAAGGGAACCTGAGATGGTGTTTTCTCCCATTTTCGGGGCCAGAAGATCCTGAGATTAGAGACAGAGAACTCCACCGCAAAGAACGAGAGAGAGAGCGAGAGAGAGAATTGTTTGTGAGGGCTTTGAGATTGTTCGCAGAGATGAAGAAGCGGAGTAGGAAGAGGAGAAGAAGAAGGTTATTTACTAGTAGAGAATCAGATGACACCACCAATGTAATTTTGTCGGTTCGGTTTTATACTTTTTCACCAACCCGTGTGTTTGAATCAGCGGCGCAAAAAATAATGTTACCTCACAAATCAATCAATCAATCAATCGTACAAGATCGGAAATCTAACGGCGCAACCATTCAAGTAGTGTAAAAACAATTTTTATATGCGGATTTTATGCATATATATATATATATATATATATATATATATATATATATATATAT